TTGCTGTTTTGGGCATCCCTGCAATGGTGTAAGTGATAGTGAATGGGCACTGTAGAGTTGCCAGATGATGAAAGCTTGGCCTTTATAGTCAGACAACATTGCTACCCTGACCGCAGAGTTTTTAGTTCAATGCATTAATACCAATTTTCAGTAAGCAAAGGATATTAACTCTGACCCCAGAAATGCTTCTAAGACATTACTCACTGGACCTTTAGTTAAAAAAACAAAAGAGAGGTATCATTTTATGTTTGCTTTATTTTGCACTGTCTTTGGGCATCTGTTACTGTCAGATGCAGTTTTGACACTAGTTTTGACAGATTAGTTGGTCTTGTCAAACATGATCATTCTAAAAATATTATTATCCCCTTCAGAGTTTAAATCACTGACATAAGCAAGATGCTTATTCATTGTGTCTGGCTATGCCAGCACAGTATCAAAAAATACTTTATGCAGATGTTGATGGCACTATTTTAGTAATTCACAGGTGCCACAAGTTTGTCTACGCCACAATGCATAGCACTTACCTATGCCTTTTACAACATGGCCATTCAGGAAAGTTGGTCACTACTTACATAGCTTGTGAAATTTCTTTGATCTAGAACAAACCACTTAGTTAAAAAAATATAATGGCTCATAGTCCTTTGTTAGATACAAAGAAGCAACTTCAAGTGTTGAAGTGTTTTCTACCCTGGTATTATTAGTTTAACTGATGGATAGATTTAAACTTGCAACTTGTAGTTTTGATGTAAATATATCATAAGCTCTGGCAAAGTCTAATTGTTTGAGGATTTTCTTCCTTAATATTTCCAGGAAGTAAAGGCAAAGCCTTATCTGTAGTAATAGATGTATGGACATCCCATGAAGGCATGAGAAACGAAACTGGGAAAATGTTAAACAGGAATATTTTTCCAGACTCCCCTTTTGCAAATGGCAGTGATGAAATAGTATCTGCATTTCATGCCATGACCACTTAACCTTCAAAGGAAAGAGAAAAACAATTCTAGAATTTAGTAGAGATGTTTTAACATAAAATTAGACCACTAAAGGAGTGGGATGAGGTTAGGGCAGAGGGAGAAAAGAGTAGCTATAAGAAATACTGTTTTCCCCTTCTGATTAAAAATATTCATTAAGAGTTGGGGAAAATCTACATCTTTAGAAAGGTTGGGGGTTTTCAATTTTCTTATGAAAACTGATATGTAGTAAGACTTTCCAAAATACACTCCTCTTACATTTGGTAGTAATAAATACTAAAATGGCAATATTAAAATATTGTTAGATACTTTTATTTGGGCTTTTAAAATATCTGCATAGTTAGTGTATTTGTAAATAACACTAGCAAAGAAGTAAAATGTGAAGATGAATGCATTGAATTGTTATGCTCATTTCCCTTTCAGTGAAAATGCAGGGATCTACCTTTATCTTCTGAGACCAGATGTAGATGTGTAATGAGAATCTGCAAATTATCAATATGCACAAACACCACAAAAGGAATCTGGGATGTTCAATTCATTCCTGACAAGTAGGATTAATGGGGAATGGATAAATATGTATGTAAAAAATAAGACAGGACTGAAAGTTAAGTCTCAGGGACATGGTCAATTTTTGAAGATTACTTATGTTTATTACATTGAAGAAATTCTCCCAAAGAAAGTTTGTCTGGGAATAAAGAAGTTTTTTGGGGTTTTTTTGTTTGTTTTTTTTTTAATATTTGAAATATATTGAAATAAATTTGAATAAAGCAGGCCTACTGAGAGATGAGCTATTCACTCAATATTTCCAGGTAAAGTTAAACATATTTTTGAATGTTTATTCAGCAGGTCTCTGTTTTCTTCACCAAGGTGAAGTTGCTAAACAACTTGGCAGTTGCAAATCATCATGTCCCAGACTTCACAGTTCTAAAATTCTCACCAGTCTTCTGATTCCCCAGAGCTTAAGAAAACAGACTGAGAAAGGTACATTAACTATATGCAAACTACAGCAGTGATCTACTGCACACAGCTATACACGTGTCAGTTATGTGGAACTTAAATTAGATGTTACTGAGATGTTACTGAGATTTTACTCCAAAGGGAGTATATTTGCAATAAAAATGATGTGACTGTCCTGCACTGATCCTGTGATGTTCCATGTCACCTATATGGGTCCAGAGTTGTATGATATATTTTTAATCTTGTTTGTGTCCTCCAAACTACATCATCAATTAGTCTCCTCTTAGAAAAATCCTCCTTATCAATATAAATAGATGAACCACTGTATTTTTAACTCTATGTCTTTTAAAATATCACTAACTAAATATTCTGCTGGTCTCCACAGAATCATTTTGGTAGATCACATTTATATTTACAAAAGTGTATAGCAAGGGCAAATCAAAAATTTACCTGAAATACATGGTACACACATAACTATTCATATTGTACCAAGTAGGTAACGCCCTTAGTTTTGCTTCATATTGATTAATAACAACAATAAATTAATTTTAAAAGGCATTACTTTATTCTGCCAAAGTAATTTGTGCCTTTAGCAAACAATTCTAAGGAAAAGTCAGAAAGGAACGATATTGAAGAATTCAAAAATACATAAATGTTGGATCTTATCCAAGATATATGAGCTAACCTGCATAATGCTAATTATATTCTGATTACAGCTGATGAAAATTTTCACACAAAGCTCTTCTCTGCAATGTTTAGCAGATACAGAGTTGCCAAAATCTTCAGTTATTACTTGAGAGGATTTTTTGTCTGGGAAAGAAATTAAATCCCCAGTTGAAAAACAATCATTCTTGGTAACTTCAAAACACATCCCCCCCCCTTTTTTTTTTTTTCTTACTTTATTTGTATTTTAGTAATAACACTTGAAATTTTGAAATCAGATCAAAGTACTTAAAACACTATCAGAGTTAAATACTTAAAGGAGCCAAATAAACTTTTTTTTTCCCATTAATTGACTTTTCTATTTTTTCAGGCACTGTTGAATTACTGACAAAGTACTGGTGTTAGCCCCCATAGATAGTCCACCAGAAAGCTAACTACTGATATGAGATTCTGATCCCACTGGAATCCATGGAAATCATGTCATCAATGAACTACAACAGAACCAAGAATTTATAACCTGACTATTAGCAGAACTAGGACAAAAACTTTAAGCAAATCTCATCTGTCTGGATGAGCTAGATCAGCATCTTTATGTTATTAATGTTTAGAAATAACACCAAAAACTCTTGACAACTATGAGTCAGGGATTACGTTTTATTGTTTTGGTCTTGCTTACTGGGAATTGTTGAAAATTACTTTGAAAATTGTCATTGTATGAATTATTTGTGCTTGCAATTTTATAGTCTGTTATATCATGAATGTTTGATGGATGCATTTAGAATCACCAGCTATAGATCCAGCCACCAAATTCCTAGTGGGTTGCTACATCATGACATTTTATACCTAGTAAATCCTGAAATCCTGCAGGTTTTTTTAGGTCTATGTAGGCAAGCTTATTCACTTTGATGGCACTATATGCATGTTAAGGGCTAAATACGTGAACTGTGCAGGACTGAAGGCTTTTGGAATTATTCTTAAAATCCCGTAATAATGGATTGTACCAATATTCTGTGTTTAGGTACTTATCATGGATAAATATTGGTAAGTTGTTTCCACTGTGATACTTTTCTGAGAGTCTATGTTGCTCCATTGGAAAGGAATGTGCAAGCTATAAGGCTGGGAATAAGCAACCTGCAAAAAATAAATCCTCAGGTTCTGTTCCCTTAATTTTTTTTTCTGAAACACTGAGATTTCTGAGAACTGCTAAGGTTGCCGAGACCACAATCACATTCTAAAGAGGATTTTTCAGCAATGGTTTGCTTCAGAAGTTCATTTTCACTGAAGACACTAAATTGATGTGATTTATCTAATTTATTTAATAAATTCATGGAGGAAACTCCCATGGAACTGTTTTCTGAACCACAAGACTGCTGTTATTTGTCTCTGAGTAAAGTGTTGCCTATTGTAAATTGATATTTGGAAACTTAAGTCTTTGGAATCTGCTCAGCTTCACTTATCATCTCTTGAGACCATGTTATTTACATGAGGGTTCTCAGTGAAAAAAGCTTCTAGGACTCTGGGTTGCAAAGATGGACTTGAAGAGAAAAATCCACTTCATATTTCTCTTGGGAATAATGTCAAAAAATAATTCTCAGGCTTTAATGATAAGAATAATTTTGACTTCAAGCAGAATAGGAATTGGTTCCAGTTATAAGGGTAAAATAATTTCAGTAGCCTCCCAGTTTAGAGACAACAGTTCTGCGAAGTTCCTTTTGCCTGTATCTTCTGTTCTTAGCCACTGAAACAGCAATGAAAGGGCCTTTCCAAGCACTTGCAACAGAACTCTAGAAGAAGTTCTTTTCTTCACATAGGTTAAAATTAGCATTAAATTACACTCAGTTATGAAGTGTTGTGTTCAAAACCATACATTGCAATTGAGAAGAGCTGATATGCTCTTTTGGCAGGTTTCAGGATTTAAAACGGAAGAGCTGAATCTACAGTTGTGGAACTGAGGAGTCTTAAAGTTGGCCTTTGACAACCAGTCATAATAGATTTAGAAAATTCATATAGTTTATTTGTAATAAATACAATTACATAGTTCTGTTTAAAATTATATGTTAATCAGCATCCATTGCCATCCTGCTGAGAACAGGCAGCAGCTACTCAAGGATATGAGAAAGTATAAATTTCCAAACACAGAGATATTGCTACATTGCATAGGATGCAAAAGAAAAATATAAGAACAAAATACAAGGTAATATATGTCTCTGACAACTGAGTAGTCCACAATTCATATGTTCCAAATTCTACTCTTAGAAATACTAATATTTTTCCCTACACTATCAATTCTCATTGTGATTAAAACACAACTATAATAATTTAGTCCAGAACTACTTTCTAGGGGAATTGAGGGTGCAGCATTCTCTTTGATTAACACTTGCTGGTGTCATCCGTGCTCTTGTTCCACAGCTGGGAGGTTACACACCCTCCCCCAGTGCCTTGTAACTGAGAGCAAACTTCACCTGTTCTAGAAAATGGATACAACCTATAGAATCATAAGCAGAAAGAGGCTCCAGAGTCTGGAACAAGTTCATCCTCAAGGTAAGGAGTTAACAGAGATGTTACAACTGTGGGATATGTTCCTATAGCTATGATTGCTTTGTCAACCCATTTTTACTTGCTTGCTGTTTTGTAACAGTTACCTGAAAAACCTGAATAGGTCAGGTGTAACAGTTTTAGTCCTGATCCTTTGCCTGGACACTCACGAGTGCTAAACTTGCATTACAAGCTGATGTGCCTGCTTTGAGTTTGTGCGTCCAGAGTCCCTGCTCACAGTCCATCTGCTCTGGGCTCCAGTGGCAAGGTTGGGTACCTTGTGGCTTTGTAGCAGCTTAAAGCTGTCCTTAGAGACAGATACTAGCTAAATCTCTTCACACCAATGATTTCTAATACAGCTATTTACTATTTTGAATACCATAAGATCTGGTGAAAATCTCTATTTTAAACTATAGTCACAGTTCCTTTCCTAGTTCCCTGCTGCTCCTTACTTATAGTCTCATTTCAGTTTTAGATGTCATATGTTGCTAAACTCTGTTTAGCTGAAAAAAACTGTCCCTTATGAGAAAAACCAGTATGGTATTGATGGAACTTGGATGACATGCCTCAGGAGTTCTCTTTTGTATCTTGTCTCCCTCCTGGATAAATATATCTTGGACAGATTTTCAGAACAAGTGAATGTAGACTTTCAAGACACAAGTTCAAAAATGATGAATGCCTTTTTGAGCCCAAGTCAAACTGAAGGTGGAATAAATTTATGTACATAGACCAATGCATGAAAGCACCCTGATCTCTTGTATTATCAGCCAACTATTTAATGACAGAGTAGAAAAGGGTTATAGGCATTAGCTTTAAATTACTTCAGGTACCAGTGAAGGTATAGTGATAGGCTCATTTTTCTTGCTGCTTGGTTTTTGAAATGGTACCTTTTGAAAATTGTATCTGAAGTGAAATATTCTACATTTTACATTTGGAATTAAACCTTATACCTGCAAAACTTCTTGTAGCAGTTCTTCCTGAAGCAAAGGAGTGAGTTAAATGGGCCTATGGCAGCTCTCCAAGCTACTTTGGTGGTAGTATTAGGTTTTATATGATACATTTGAAAGACCTTCTACCTTGTGACTGCAAAGATGTTTTCTCATCTGGAGAATGATAAGTCATGACAAGCCTAGTGACCATGTTGAATCAAAAGAGAAAAAGATAATAACAACATAAACATTCAGGTGCAAGTATTGTAACTGCCTCAGTACAAAGGAATCTCTGACTACCATATTTATCCTTCTATTTCATGTGATGCACAGGATCTCATTTACCACAATAGCAAGAGAGGAATTACAAAGCCTTCCAAAGAATTATGGAAACGATTCCCATTCTCATCTTCAGTCCCACTGAAGCCATTTATTTTGACTTTATGAAGGAGTTTAGTAACAGATGAAACACAATCTACTGGGTTGAACACAGGCTTGGGACCTGTAGGCACCTGACTGGGACCTGTTGCTAATTCTGCCATTAGCTGCTGTATGATGTTATATTATTCTGTTTCCCCATGCCTTACATTCTCTGTCTGTATGACACAGATAGCACTCTCAGGCATGCCAAAAACAAATGTTGAATAGGAGCTAACTGCTTATTTTATCTTAATCAAGGAAAGGGGGTGTGAAAGTTTATCTGAATGAGAATCCTTAAAAATTTAAAATACTGCTAGCTATTTCATTGTATCATTTAGGCAGAAATTGCTGGCAGTTCTGAAGCTGTGACAAAAGGATAGAAATCCTGGTGGTATTTCACAGCACCATACCATTTCCTAAACGTATCAACCATTTTTTAGTAAGCTATTAGATGTTACTGCTGGTATACAGTAGAAACGGAACCCATTCAACAGTCCCAATTGAGTGCATGACATATCAAATTTAAATGAGGCAATTTAAGTTCCTGATTAATTATCCATTAGCAATAACTCACTATTATGCAGTCTGTTTCTGAAGATATTGAAACATGGTATTATGGAGTTATTATGCACTCCTTTTTTATGAGTCTGTTCCAGTCTTTTTGGACACTGATTTAGTGCTGCATCACAGTTTACATATGCACATTAAAGCTGTCACACATTAAACTCTTAATTGTTAATTACCATTTGGGTATTAGAAGAACAGCCTGGCCAAGCTTTAATTTCCCAGTGAAATCCTTAGATCTGAGTAGTTTTCAGAACTGTGTTTTCTCCTCTCTTAATCATCAAACCCTAAACAATTGATACTTATTTTCACCTAAACCTTCTTCAGCTACTGTGAGATCCTCACAGAGTGTTCCAGTGTTACCCTCACTCAACAAAATTTCCACTAGAAGTTTCCTGTAAGAGTCTGTACTGAGCAAAGGCTGAACAAAGATCTCAGCGCTTTTCACAGAGGATTTAGTACCTCCTGTGTAACACATAACAGGTTTTGTTGTGCATGGCTTTGTGTATTGTCAAACTGGAAAAATTCAACCATCTGTGTTAATTTGTGGGAATTAGCATTCATAGATTTCTTGTATTAAAAAAATGTCAATTCTAATATTCTACTATGTTTAATTTTTATCATATACAATTACTTGCTTGATTTTATATTCATTTTTTTATTTTACAGTCCCATTCTCATGCTGTATAAATCATAAAACTACCAACAATCCTGTATTTCTTATTTTGATACCTGATAAAATGAAGTACCACTGAACTCCCTCCTCAGTTTCTATAGGTTTCAAAATGTATTTTTTCTATCATGTCAGCACTTAGAAATTACTTCAGCGAAGTACTTTAATTACTGTATGAACACCAATCAATTAATGAATCTTTGAAGCAACTTTGAGAGACAAGAATAAATTATGGATAAATGAAGACACAGAAGAATTTTGATTTTATCAATTTCAATACAGATGAGAAGCAGAAAGAAGAACAGCACTGTCTGCATCAAGATTCCTGGTTGTCTTTGCAACTCACCCAAACAAATTTCCTCTGTTTCTATTATGTGTATTAACTCTTCCCCTGTGCCTTCTATTGCATGACTTACCACAACTGTCCATGCAGTATTAAAATCGTTTGTGTTAGATATGAGTCCCTGCCTGAAAAGCCTCTCAAAGGCAGTAGTTCTTAACTGTATGTGAGCACATTCTGGCTGGGCTTCCTGAAACCCATCCCAGTGATAATGTCTTTCATGATAAATTGGTAACAAAACATTAACAGGCATGCCAAGCCTGATTCTCCTCCGAAGAGCTCTTCCCACAACTTCAGCAATGTAAAACTCTTTGAAAGGGACTTTGAACATCATTACAGCCTATGCTGGCATTGCAATAGCCCGGTTAGAAGGGCAAATGAGAGTAAGGCTAACTAGGTATGGAATAAAAAGACACTTTTAATTGGACTCTGACAAGATAACTGATTGAAAACCTGCAAGGGTAACATTTTCAGTGACCTTTGTGGAAACATTAAGCTTTTGAAGAGAATCCTATGCAAGTCTGGATTCAATTTCTTTAGGCAGCTTATGCTTCATACTTATTTAGCAACCCTTTGGTAGTATAATATCATGGCTTTTATATCTTTCAGTCTTTGTAGATATTAGCTGGAGTTTCCCTATTAAAGTAATATTATATTATTCTGAGCTATTTTTTGTGAGTCTGCCTTCCTGCTCTCTCTGAAGTTTCCCCGTTGTATTGAGATTGTGGGGGGGGGGGGAGGGTGGCGCAGGAGGAGTTACAGGGATGGCTTTTCCCCTTGTCTGACAGAGACAATGCCAGCCAGCTCCAAAATGAACCCACTGCAAAAACTATTGCACAAAGGTAAGTGCATCCTGAAAAGAGAGAAGGAAGTAAAAGCTACAGCAATACCCCTTTCATGAGATGTGACCACCTTAGTTTGAATGACGCTTTTTCTATCCTTTTGTAGTCTTCAAATTGGCAGTGTCATTAAAAATAAATTCAAACTCAGGAGCAGAAGTCTGATCTCATTACAGTTTCTCAAGTCCATAATGCCTTTACTCATTAGATGAGGTTTTCTTGAGAAAGAATCTCCTTTCTTATTGTATGTATACATGCAACAACATTGCCACCTCGTAAAGCAATTCTAGAAAGGCTCATTGCCTTTTCTTGAGCAATGAGCGTGTTGAGAAAGTTCTCCTGTATGGAACAGCAGTGTTCTTTTCCTGTCATGCAGAAGATATGCTTAGCAGTATTGGCAACAGGTCTTCAAACACAAGATACTCACTTCAGAGATTTCTCAGTTCTGGGTGTGAAAAGACTGAAGGGAAGCACTGAGCTTTGTCCATGTGTTTATATGACTGTCTGTGTGCACAAGCACATGAACATACATAGACATAGATAACCACTACCAATTCCTAGGACACCATACTTTTGTTTATTTATTTGTTTCACTAAAGGAACCTTAAAAGTTCAGTTTGCCATGGAAGAACCTTCCAATAGTACATATCAAAACTTCATTCAAGCATTTTTGCTTTTTCTTTTGGATGTCCTAAGGGCTGCAATCAGGTGTACAAAGATTATGACTGCTCTGTTCCATTGCTTTCTCATAGCTCCTCTCCTCTCCTGTGTTGATTCTGTTGTTGACACTACTCAGCTTGCACAAATCAGACAGTTGAAGCTGGATGAAGTGAATCCCAATAAAAGACAGAGAATAGCAATTTTTCCTTGGCTCGATATCCACTATCTGGTGTAAGACTACTTTTTTAAAGGGATATCCCACTTCCAGACAGATTTATTTGTCCTCTGGTGTCCTTAGTGCTTCCTCACCACCTCCCCCCCCCGTCTCTGGGCTTTACAGCAGCACAATCAGAGAACTCCCTTACTTGGCTGATGCAGAAGCATCAGCCCTGTTTTTTCAGCACACAGACTTGCAAATGACACACCAACACGACATCATCAACTCAAGCACGGAGTGATAAGAACATGTTTGTTTCCGCTGATTTTGTGCAACAATTCAGCCTTCTGATTATAATATTATACAAAAGTCTGAGTTAACTAACTATTCTTTATTGTTCACCACTTGCCCAAATGATGAAGCATTCAGTGCCTTAGAACACTTTTCAGCAGATTTCTTGAAACTCTTTCATGTTCTGTACTTTTTTGCAGATCTGCTACAGGCCTGAAATGTTTATAGTTCTCTGATGTGAGTGAGCATTTTTGCTGTTCTTAAAATCTTTTTTTGAAGAAAAAAAATCAGAAATTTAACCTTCATAAGGTTTTACTAATGTTAATGTTGTTTTATATATGCAAACCATCTTTCAAAATTAAGTGAGACTTGCATATCATGATATAAATTTTAATATGCAAAATGTGCAATCCATACAAATCTTATTTTGGTTTGTCTACAGCTTGGCATTCGGGGGAGAAAAGGTTTCTGGTAAGGTCATATTAAAACTTTTGTGTACAACATCACAGATATTCCTGTGAAAAGAATAATAAAATTTGAAAAAGCTTTGTTTTCTTTTTTTAAAGAGGAATTAATGTGAAAAATCCGCCTGACTCCATCTGTGCTCTCTTCAATATCCACTTTGAAGAAAGGGTTACAAGGAAATATTTCTAAGTGTGTCAAGTATTTATGAGATCCACATTATCTGCAGTCTATAACCAAGAATGGAGAAAGAGCGAAGTGCCATGGTTTACCCATGCTTAAGCAGGAATGTATCTGGCAGGCCTATTCCCTCCTCCTTCTGGTTCTATGGTGCCTTGAAAGAGTAGCAGGCTATGCTCACAATTCAATTAATCGTGTGGTATTTTTGAAAGTTCAAATGCGATATTTTCATACAAATGTTCCCCGAATGAGAAGATTCACAAGCTGACAGAGGCTTCCTTATGTCTGAATTTTTTTTTCAGTACTTTGTGAAATGTTTTTTTATCTGACAATTTAAAACGCATCCCGCAGACAGAACTGTGCAGGCTGTAATACACGTAAAGTGAACAGAACCTTTAAACATTGTTTTTGCCTGTAAAGGAAAAGAGCAGCAACTGAGAGATATAAATCAAACTGTTGATCATGGAAATTCTACAGTGAAAGATAAAACTAACAAGAATAGAGAAATGTATGAGGCCCCTTCTATGCATCCCCAGCCTCTGTTTGCTTGAAAACAGATAATAATCTTTTCCTAGAGTAAGATGAAATGCTGTTGCTTTTTGTGCTTTATGAGCCAAATTGACTATGCATGTGCTCTTATCCAAATCACCAAGTTGAAGAGTGTCATAAAATAAAGAAGATTTATAATATAAAAACCGTGGAAAGCATTAGTAAAAACTCAGTGTAAATCAATTGCTATTTACTGCTTGTTTTGGTTGATTTCCCAGAGTAATACCTCAGAAAAAAATTAATTTGATAAAATGCACTTTAAGTTTTATCTGCATAAACTTCTGTAATTACACTTCCTATAGCAAAGGAAACGCAGATGATGCTGTTTTGTGCCAAAAACCAGAAAAATTATGCAGAATCCCGTTTGGGCTATTTGTGTGGCCCAGAGTGAGTGTATTAATCTCTCGGGATTTCAGGAATTCTTCCTGAAAACCCAGAGATACTAATAGCAATTTATCCTGTAAATGTAATACCCAAATTCTGAATTATTTTCCTTGACTTATATTTTATAAACACAGAATGATATAATGTTTTGAAAGGATTAAAGACAAAAACCTCTATCTTCAATGATGGCATGTGCAGTGTAAAATATGCAAGACTTAAAATTTACAGCTGTATGAATAATGTCTCTTCAGTTCATGCCCAAATGAAGAGAGGAAAAAAAAACCACGGCTGAAACAAAGTTGTTATGAACTGGAAATATTTTAGCACTTTTTTAAAACTCCAGGAAACTTAATTTCAGATTAACCCAAAATGATTTGTTCTTCTTAGAACTCATGATTTATGTTCCATCTTTGTGAAGTCACCCTGTTCTACAGACAGTATGGCACATCCCACCCCATCCAAAGAGGGTGGGCTGAGCTGAGAGAGCTGAGAATGCCCATCTCATGCCTCTGGTAGTTCTGACAGAAACACTTCTTTGGCAAAAACCAAAGAAAACTTTGTTGCACAAAGAAAAGAACTACTTCAGGCCTGAGACAGGACAATATTTAGCCAGTGGGTCTTTACCAAGTACGTCACAGTATGAGTATGACCTTGCTCTCCAGTCACAGGAGCAGTTTGCCTTTGAAAAAGGACAAATTTACATGAAATGCTCAAGTCTGCAATGACATCTGAAAAGCAGAGATTAAATTCCCTGGGACAAAGCCAGTTCTGTATAACCATATAGCTCCCAGTCCCAAAGCATAGTCTGGAAATCTGCTAGCTGGCAATAAAAATCTCTTCAGAAGCATAAGCAGTTCTCCTGCTCTACCTGCCTACAGCCCCTTCACCATGCACCACTCGTCCCATCTCCACTGTGCTGGGCTGTTTAACGTCTGTGGGGACTTTGCCTTAAACAAAGGGTTGGTGCAAGTACCATCCCCACGTCCCAGAACCTTCAATGCAAGGTGATTCCTGCCTTTGCTCTGTTGTATTTAAATGCACATGGATGGAGGAGCCAAAGACTATCTCATTTCATACCCGTATCACATGTAATTACTAACCATCTTTATGATGAATTTTGTCAGATTTCTGCTGAGCACATTTCCAAGACAACCCTTCCAAAACTCCCCAACACTGCATAATGCCTAATGAAAGTTTGAAACATTATTATTATTATAGTTTAATGAAACTGAATAGCTGTTACAAATCTGTCCCTGTCTTGAAGTTCAGTGTTTCAATCTTCAGATGTGAAGAAAGGGTCATGGACATACATGCATAACTTTTTTTCAATACTCTCAGTGCAAAAGCCCTTTAGAACCTTCTCTGCTCAATAATTAAGTCTCTGTGGAACCTCATTTGATCATTAGGGGTACCTGAAAAGTAATAGTAAACCCTTATAGATGAATATTCAGAATTTAATAATTAGCGCTTTCCTGATTTTTAGCAAAATCAAGATGAAATGATTGTCATTTCTTCCCTTCTTTAGAGCTGAGCCAGAAGTCTGCTTTACAGGATCTACCAAGTCACTGGACACCAACTGACCATTTACAGCAGTTTTGAAGCCTGTCTGGACTTTCTTGTTCAGATGCAGACAACCAAGGTATAAATCCACTTGTAGGCATGAGCCATCTGTTTCACCTAACTGTAGATGCTGTTTCACAAAAGGGGATGAACTAACCAAGCTACTCACTGTCTCCAAACAGAAGAGTTTTCATCTCTCATCTCAGTTTCCTTCTCCCCCATCCCATTCATCTTCTGCTTGCCTTTTGCTATCTCTGACACCTTGTGCAGGTCCCTCTGTGAGCTGATCCAACACAACAGGCTGGCAGAAAACTAATCTATATGTAGATTCCTGTTGGGTGAATAAGCTGAATCTTGGATCTTATCATAAGCAATAAAAGTAAAAAACCATCTACACCAGAAATTACTTTATTGGAACAGGGAAAATCTTGCCCTAGGAATCAACCTGAGTAAACAACAGTTATGATCTTTTTTCAGAACTTGTTCAGAAATCTTAGAATGAAAGCAAATCCCTGTGTTTTTCCTAAAATATTTGTTTCTTACTCATGCAGATTTATTGGTAAATTCTTCTCAGATGTTGATCTCTTACAGCAGGAATACATTGATCTAACTTGCCTCTGGTGAGAGAACTGCTTGTTCAAGATTAAATTACCTTTCAAATTAAATTTCAAATTGAAGTGCATGACCAAAATTTTGGTATTTTCCACCATGAAAAACTGAACAACACCAAAAAACTTCAGCCTGATAACGGCAAAAGGTTACTACTTGTTGTGAAGAAATGAAATGTTACTTCTTGTTGTGAATAGGTCCTAAAACATATATTTCGTTCTGATTTGAAAATAAAATAGTCTCAACAAAGCAAAATTATTTGTTCAGTAATTCCCAGTGCAAGTAGTGACATTAATAGAAGCAGAAGCAAAGTGGCCTGAAGATACCAATCAGTGGGTGAGTCAAGAGCACATAGAGATTAATCCTTCTGCTGTATTTCTCTAAAACTAGATTATTAATTTTTTCCAAAGTTACAGGAAGAATATATTTTTGCAATGTCAACTAGACCTGAAGAAAACATGTTCTTTATTGAAACCAAAGTGTTTCCCTGAAACTTACCATTTTCTGTTCAGAAAATGTTTATTACCTCCTGGATGAAAACTCTGGTTAAAATAAGAGAATGAAAGAGATAGATATAGGAAATGAGAAAAAATGGCAGATGTCACATTTTTATAAGAGTCAATAATCTAATATTTATTTTCTTTGGGAACAAAATCTATGTTGAAATCACTAGTCTAAATCATTCACCAGATCCATACTCTCCTGTTCTGCAAAAAACACTACTGAAGATTTTTAGTTATATTAGGCTTTCCCTTGTTTTTTCATTAAAAAGAAGAAAAAAAAAAGAAAAAGAAAACCAAGCAAAGGTTAATTCCAATTTGTTACAGAGCTAAAACTAAATATAAATTCTTGAAACTTGTGGCCCCATAATATTAATGTTTTCCAGTCAGCCCCACTCTCAGCCCAGTGACTCATCTGTGCATACAGTGTCTAATAACCACCTGCAGGACAGATGTGGCAGAGCACAGGTCTGTACATTTTAACAAAGAGAACACGATCTAATTATTTTTAAGGTACACTTGAACCAACTATCTGCCTTCTTTAACTACCCTCTTAATCCTAAAGAGTGTCATATTTTTTTTACCGAGGGATAAAGCCACAGACCATCTCCATCAGCTTTCTAACAGTAGTTCTGAGCAACGCTCACGTTCACAGGGGCCAGCCAATATTCATTGCTCTGCTCTGTGCCAGGGAGAATGTTTCCCATTTCACAATGTCTGTGCATGTGCACCTTCTTACAAATTCTGTGCCTTGATGCACATGTAAATGCAGCACTGAAGTGACTCAGCTTGAGTGTTCATGGAGTCGCTTGAAAAATTGCAAATACAAATAGCTGCAAATACAGATTAAACACACAACCATCCAATCTCATGGTGCATGCAATTATTTTAATATCATTTATGTGTTTCTGTCATTTTTAAGTGCTCTGAAAATAAAGTAGACAAATACATCTTTCTATATACATATATATCTAGATAGATGTTTTCTTTGCGTGTTAACGTCTAGTAATGAGGAAAATTATCAAGAAAAGCATGTTCTTGACAAGAAAACTTAAAATCATTATGAAAATTCTTGAAAGAAGAGTCAATGCAACTTTCTACAAATAGCCCACTGCATCAGTCTCAGAATATATGAACAATAATTACTAAATACCTGAATGTGGTAGTCCAGCAATGGCTCACAAGAATACTTTTCTTCTGTAATGAATAAATGTTGCTGTTTAGTATGATTGGAGTGAATGGTGAAGTCCTGAACCACCAGATAATACATACCTGTCCCATAATACTGATCATTACTAACCTTACTGAAACACAGAGAACAAATTAAAAGTATTCTTGTATTGCCACGTTTTTCAAAGTCACTCAATAGATTTGAAACAGTATTTTTCAATCAGGGTTATAGGGTTTTGTTTGTTTGTTTGTTTTGTTTTTTTTTTGTGTGTCATTTCATATGTTTTAAAGCCATAATTCATGGAAATTTAATTTGATTTTCTAGGTAAATTATAACACACAGTTTTGCTCAATAATTTATACACCCACCTTAGCAGTGCATGCTTAGATTAAGCATGCCTTCAAATACATTTAATGTAAATTTAAAGTTTCTAAGAGAGAAAGAATTGATCACATTCTTGACCATCTGTTGTGAGAGCTTTATACAAATCTTTCCTTTGCTCAACCCTTTATGACTCAAATTGCTAGACATTATATTGCATGACTATTTTGTGAGATTAAAATAATTTTCTAATTCAAATATCTTTAGCATGTGTAAATTATTATCGGCCATGGTAATTTTTTTTCCTCTTCTTTTCTTTTACAAGGGGGTTACCTTGAAAACCTGAATGTGTTTATCAAAGCTGAGATTTCTTAAGCATGACCAGACACACTTCAGTCCTGATTGCTAAAAGCTGGTATGTATTGCTATGGCAATCCACTCTTTGCAGAGTTCACTTTTACAACCATTTCAATGTTTCTGTTTTGTCAATCCACAATCCACAATATGCCAATTTCATACCTGTGTGACTCTATTGTACAATATGCAAAAGTTTTACGCAGATCCCACCTGCATTTGGTATGTCAGAGTGTGGTTCTTCTAAACTAGCATTAGTTTGCAGTATCCCAAATATGTATTGAATAAAATTTTTAGTGACAATCCTCTTTCAATGAAAATTTCTTGCTAAAAAAAAAAAGTCAAGAATAATGAGAGCACTGAGTGCAGTAGAACATCCACCCCTTGTAATATTTTTTTTTCCCTTTACCTACCTTTAATCTCCATGAGAGCAGTGTTCAAGGCCAGGTTGGATGGGGTTCTGTGCTAAATGGTTTAGCGTCCTGCCCATGGCAGTGGTGTTGCAGCTAAATGGTCTTTAAGGTCCCTTCTAACACAAACCATTCTATGATTCTATTCAAATATCTCATACATCAGCATTCAGGGAGCTTTTGAAAAACCTTTGTGCTAAGATATGTCTGCTTCTTAAGGAAAACCCTAATTTTTGTCACCAACTATATAAGGCTGAGGTTAGTAAATCCATGAAATCCTTCTGTAATAATTGTGAAAACCCACTTGTGTGAGTATGTTTGACTAAAAATCAAATCACGCCATGCTGATATGCTTCCTCCGTGCTATTCCAGAAGTGTCATGGTCATAATGCAGGAGGAAAATGACTCTGCTTTATCCTGAACTCGGTTCAGGGGTGATACTGTTAAAGGCTTCTGAACCAGGGAGGGAACACATCTTGAAGTGCTGTGTTTACATGTCTCTAGAGACACACCCTGAGATGAGCTAAAGGGCTTTTCAAATCCCAGAAAGCTTCTCATAGGAAGTCTGTAACAGAGCACAAAGTTGAATCCAGGACAATGAAGTTCCAGGCTGGCTCAACACTGAGGCAAAAATTCTTGATTTAATGAGATGAAAGTCAAAATTATATAATATATTGAAGGTTGATAAAATACATTTCAATTTACTCACAGGAATGTTGGTTGAAGTGAATCTCTGAAGGTCATCTAGTCTAGTCTTCTACTTACAGTAGCTTTATCTGCTTATTTTGTTTGTTTGATATCACCTTGATTAAAAGAAACAAAACAAAAACACACATTAGAATTTTGGTTTTTTACTTGTATATTTACATTTCTCTTGATTTTGGAACATTCCAACACATTCTTGAACGAGAGGAAGGCCAAAACATATTTCAGACTCCTCTGAGATGTTTCTGATATTTCTGTTTTTTGGTAAAATCCAAAATTCAATCTCAGTGCTTGTTTGTAAGGTCATATATATAACATGTTTCTTAATGTTAACTAAGAAAGGAAAGGATAACACAGACTTTCTTGTACTTGCGTTACTCAATAATCACCAGTTCTAGTTAATTCTTTTAGAATTAAGCAATCTAAACAGTATTGTATTTTGAAATATAGTCTGTTACATATATATATATATATACACACACCATAAAATCTAGTATTAAGTTTTTAATAGCTACCCACTCTTGACACACTGGAAGCATTGAGTGTAATATGGCAAAGTCAAATGAAACTCTGCAAGTCCTGCACATGTGTTTCCAAAGTAATTATGAATATATTACAGTGCTACTCCTATTTCCTTGTGCACTCAATAATTTAATATTATAACTTTTAATTCTGTGTGAGGAAAAATATTACACACTTTTTACCAATTTCAACAGTAGATAGGAAGCATTACTTTTGATTTCTTACCTGTGCATCCTTTTCCTATGCTTGTTGTGCATTTGCTGTAGTCTTACTATCCTCAAAACCAAAGTTGTTGCTATAACCTAAAGAAGTGTTACAGTATCTCAGATAAGATGTTCTAAACAAACCTCTGCATTTCCACAGCTCTATTTCAAAAAGTTGCCGCAAGAACAACCAAAAATCTTGAGGATAACACATAATTTATGGCAACTCTAACAGAAACTGCATAGCAGAAGCAGCCTATAATGGCAAGATCTTTAAG